CCCGCCGGTTTAACCGTCCTGCTTATCAGATTACATGTTGGACGGGCTCCAAAGATTTAAGTTTGAAAATAAACACTACGTCAGGTCTGGGTCTAATTATTGTTAACACCCCCTCAGGGAAAGAAATGAGGATGAGTCTTGAAATCAGTCTAGAATAGTCTAGACTGATTTCTGCTGTGAGTCAGATATTGAATCAGCCTTCATTAAACAGTCCCTGTATGACCTGGAGATGAGTCAGATATTATTACAGCCATGAGTACTTTTACTCTTTATACTTTTTCCTGAAGATACTTAAATACTTTTACTTCACTCTCAATGAGTGAGGACTTCTACTTATTATAGACTCTGGTATGTATTTACTGTTAGCATAATAACATAGAAATAAAATCACATCAACAAAATTACAATGAAAATATGACAACGTGATATGTAATCACCCAAGTGGACGCGGGTCCATTCAAACAGAAAGAGGAGCGGTTTGAGTCGAGACGTTGAGAGAAACTTAAGATGATATAACTAATAAAACATGAAACTGTCCGGTCTAAACTCACAGACGCTGTTTGACCGGAGTTTAACGACATATGTCGGGTTGTGTGGTCTTTAAAAGTTATCTTCTGACAGTGACGTCCGTTGACTTGAATGGATAAAAAGCGAAACAATAAATGGAGCTTACCTTCATCCTCTGTGTGACCTGCCGTGAAGCTCCAGAAAGTCCAAGAGAAGCCCAGCACGAAAACCCCGAAGTGAACCAAACTGTCTGTTTAAAGTCTGGAAGATATTAAAGTATTTCCACTGCTGCTCAAGGAAGGAATGATTCATGTGTTGCGCACACTGATCCGCAAGTGGTCAATGGGGTAGATGTCAGGACTGCAGGCAAACCATAGAGGTGTTACTCTATCCGTGCAGCAATCAGCAAAGCGTTCTCCGCATCTTGACCCTCCAACCCAAGTGCTGTAGGCAGAAGGGAAGGGGAAGGCAGAACGGAAGGGGAAGGCAGAACGGAAGGGGAAGGCAGAAGGGAAGGGGAAAGCCCTCCTGGCCGCCGTAGAGGCTGGGGAGTGGCTGCTGTTTGGCATTGGCAGGGGACATTTGTCACATTTTTCCTGGGCGTAACTCAGACTCCACTCTGCTGCTCATCCGACACAATGTGGTACCACTGTGAAGCTAAGATAACAGGCTTTCCAACGGTAAAAGCCTTTTCTTATCAAGTTCCACATTTGTGGAATCAGCTTCCAGTTTGTGTTCGGGTGGCAGACACCCTATCCGTTTTTAAGAGTGCGCTTAAGACCTTCCTTTTTGATAAAGCTTATAGTTAGGGCTGATTAGATTCAGCCCCTAGTTTTGCTGATATAGGCTTAGTTTGTCGGGGGACATCTTACTTCTTCCTT